TTCAGACCAAATATTTATGTATTATTGTAACCAACAAGACAAATTAAGTCATATATATGGATTTAATGATGATATCAGAATGATCCAGGTATCAAAATGTAGCTTTTAAAGACAAGAATCTGAAAATGTCATTAGGTCATTTTGACCAGATTTGACTTAATCCTCATTTAGATATGATGGCTCACATATTAACAATGAAATGACTATAAAAAGGAGAGATAAAAGGAGATAATTTAAAAAAATAAAGTGAGAAGGCTAATTTGAACAGATGAGTTTGGAGTTGTGCCTTGAAGGTAAGAAGASAGTCAATGTTACAGAAGTCATTTATACCTCCTTGTATGAGTTGAAACATGTCTGAACATGGTGTTTAACTGTAACTGSCTGTAAAAGCTTCCTGTTGTTCAGCTGATGGTGTGATTCAGTGATTTCTTCACAATGAAACCTGTCGGCACAGATCACTGCAGATTGTACTTGTCTGTAATGAGCTCGTGGTTTTTTACACAATGAAGAAAGATGAGAGGGTTTCTTCCTCTGACGTGTTTCCACAGGTTTTTACCTTGACGATCTTTGATGTCATGACCCTGAGGCACCTGTCTGTCAGGCAGAACCTCCCTCTGGACTCGCTGCGTCAGCTCTCTGTAGCTCTGATTACTGTGGAAGAAGTGAACATGTGTGGTAAATGTTCACAGTGGACTCTGAAGGTCCTGCTGTCAGATCTGTGGAACATGGACAGGCTTCATGTGTGCATCCTATCCACATGTTGGATTTATGGCCTCTTTTAAAGCTCAACATGATCATTTAAACACAACCTCATCTATAGAAGGTTTTTATTATSAGCTAAAGATCTCTGATGAATCAGTCATAAATTATAGTTATTAATGAGTGATCAAACATGTGTCATTAGGTCTGAACCCACCTGAAACACACTGTTTCAGCTGTTCACTAACTGACACACAGTGKACCAGAGGACCTGAAGGATCCAGGTGAATCAAGACCATATGAGTCTGATTCTAGGAGGTTTTGGATCATTGGTCCTCATGCAAGAACATGTTCGTATTCTTCTCCTAAATTTCTCTTACTTTTGTTCGTACAAAGGGTTCGTACGAACATGTC